CACTAACACCAGTGTCTTCAGTCACCTTGCCAACTCTCTCGGATTCACTCTTCCTGGGGCCCCCTTCCCTGAGAACTCAGTGTCCTGACCTGATGCTTTCCTGCTCGGCTTCATTCTGTATTCAGCCAATGTTTCCCAGCTCAGTTCCCCATCCATTTCCGACATATTTATTCATAGGCCACTTGTTGCAGACACCTCCTCTGTTCTCTGCCTCCCATGTCTAATCCACTTGCTAAAGATCAATTGTCACCACCTGAGGAATAGGCCAAGGGCTGCAGTCAGAGCAGAGCTGATATTTTGCTCAGTGTTCAGAGTAGGGACACCCAGACTGTGAAGACTAGATAAATTAGTGAAGACTCTTAATACCAAAATCAGTGTCATTGGGTCAAATGGTCAGATATAGACATAAAAACAGGAGGCAGAGCCAAAGGTTTTATGGCCTGGTAGGCAGAGAAATGAGAATCAAGGCAAGACTAATGCAGGACTGTAAGCTCTGTGCAATAGGGGCACCATTAAAATCCTTCATCACTGTAATGTGGCACCTTAAAAGTTCCCTGGTAAACTCTAAGCACTCTGAGTTTATTTTCAAAATGATCAAAATCTTTCAAGTAATTTCCCCTACCTGGGTTGGTGCCTCTGTGGCCTGTTGTCTTAGGCAACATAAGTACTAGCCATTTCTTAGCCAGTGAATTGAAAGGCTAGGGAAATGACAGCTCTAGACTTATGCCACTGCTGCCCCTCCCTCAGTTTGTCAGATGGCTCTGACTGCTCCACATGGGCTTGTCCCACCTCACATTTTGCTGTTGCTTTGCTCTCTGTCTTTTCCTAGAACAGTTCTGTGGGGCCACTGGGACTCAGCAGGCACTAATTGGCTTAGGTTGAGTTGAACCCGAGGCTTCCCTGGGTAGTCCTTGTAGTTTGAGCTTGAAGTTCTTCCAGACTTAATATTGCTTCCATGACCTTCTACATTTGTTTTAAAAATAACTTTTCATTAACTACAAAAGAATGAGAATTATGTGCTTGCAAGTAGACACAGGGCTGGATAATTCTGACTGAATTACATAGGTCATTACACCTTAGAGTTCAGAGTGAACCATGGCCTTTTGAAGTTGATTTCCATGACTTTCTCCATCTCACCTCCTTTCTTAAAAGAACATTCAAAGATGGATACTACTAGATTCCAAGTCAGCAAGTCATGGGATTTCACAATTACCTTCTAGTTTGCCAAGATTAAAAAGAGATTTTTTCTTCATTAGGAATTCAATGAGTGGGCCAAGAACATAAGTTTCATTTAGGTATATTTACCAGCTGCTGACTTAGCATGGTTCTTTGTAACAATCAGACAGAGGTTTGAAGCATTATCTGTAGTTACCATCTTGACAGGATCTCAATTTGATTTTGTAAAGTGAAAGCTATCAATTCTAATTGTACCAGAGTCTTGATCTAAAACAAGGTGTCTTAGTCTTAGGCATAGGTAACTAAACCATGTCTTAGGATGAGAGCTGTGCAATTCTGTGTTACATGATATTTAGAAGAAGCCTTGACCAAGCAATCCCCTGCCCATTTTATATAAATGTTTATTGTGCTTTCTGTAAAAATTGGAGGCTATGATTTCTCTGTTTTGGATTTCTTCATAGATATAAGACTGGTGACTGGTCAAATGTAAGCACTTAAAACGTTGGCTAGATCCACAGATAATTCAACTGGAAGGGATTCTTGTCTGCTTTCAACTAGCATAATGTAAACGACACAAGGGCATTGTCTCCTGTTTTGTTTATTCCTGTATTCCCAGCCCCTAGAAGAATACTTGATACATGACAGGTGCTCAGTAATACTTGGTCAATAGTGTCACTTTCTAATAAAAATCTGTTTAGTGAGGTCTTGCCCCATTTCCTAAGGTAATACTGAAAGTCATTGAGTGCTGGTTCAAGGCTTTCCTCAGTCTGCATTTCCCAGTCTTCCCTGTTTCTCTCATACACGGTGCCATCTTTTTGACCAAGTGTGTCTACTGATATTCTCAAGTGACCACAGACATATTGCCAATGCATAACTACTCACTTCAGTTTTCTCTGTCTAAAATGTTCTTTCGAGGTCTTTACCTGGTCAAATGAATTCAATACATATTTCAAAGATCTGTTTATGTCCTTTCCCACACTCCTGTCCTCTCCCTTAATGAATATTTTCTGATTCCATGAACCTATAGGGGACCTTTGCTAACTCAAAGCTGACACTTCTTGATCTGTCCTTGTTCCTGAACATTGTAATTCAGTAGGGAATGCTACCTTTCACTTTACTGCTTTGAATTAGTAAAGTTCTGTATGTACAACATCTCTCCCATGTAGGCTGCAAGTTTCTGAAGGCATAAAAAATTACCATTATTTTTAACACCACAGAATGTATTAAACAAAATGTAAAAGAATTTTTTATCAGTTCTTTCATTTATTAAGTTATTCAACTAATATTCATGACCACCTAGTCTCTGCTATGTATGTGGTAGAAAATAGAATAAATGCGGCCTTGTCTTTACAGATTGTTTAGACTGGTTGGTGGAAAGTGTTATCTAATGTGATAAGAACTAGATTTAGAGTTAGAAGACTTAAGTAAATATCACCTCTGTCATCACTAGGTGTGGATCAGTGTCCTTCCTAGAACGTGGGAATAAGTCCTTACTTCATCCATTATACATGATAAAAAAGGACAAAACAACATTTTGTTTAACATAAAAACATTTCCAATGGCACAACATGGTGGCCTTTATTCGATCACAATTTCTTTATTACTTTTCCAACCCTTAATAAGCTGGACCTGGTGACTTGTTTCTTATGACTAAAATAAAGCGGAAGTAAAGGTTTACAGTATGGGTGACTAGGACACAAAAAGGCACTTTATCTTAGGCACCCTCTTTCCTGAAGTACTTCGTCAAGGGAAAGTCAGCTGCCAAGTAGGATTGGATTCAATCCTACTGAGAGGCCCATGGAGTGAACACTGATGCATCCTGCCAGTGTCTTGGGGCTCAGATGTAGGTGCCTCCACTCCTGCTGTTTTCTGATGACTGAAGCCCAGGGCAATGGCTTAACCTCATTACACAAGAACCCTGAGTTACTATCATCCAGCTAAGCTGCTCCTGGATTCCAGACCCCCAGAACCATACAAGACATATTTTATAACACATCACGTGGTGAATATTTTTTCACACAGTAATGTACAAATGTAAGGCATTTTTGAGGTTTAAGATACTGCTATTGTTGAATATGATAACATTCGCTGAATAAAGAATGCCACACTCTATTGTAATTTCGTGGTGAATTGATGGGTTAAGAGTGATAAAAATGAATGAGAAGGAGGAGGAGGGAGTGGATGAGCATGAACAGGAGGAGGAGCAGCAGCATTATAGAAAATTGAAAGCAAAAGCAATCAGCTCCATGTACAGCTTTCAGTGGCGATTTGTGGCGTTTCTTGTGCACCATCGGCTTCACTTCCTGAAGGTGGCTGCGTGTGACAGTCACCCCAGGCTGTATACAAAAGGTTGCCAGCTAAAACAATGGCCCATTCCAGTGCATCACTTTTGTTTCATTTCATTTTCAGCTAAAATTGATAGTTTTAATTAAATGAGAAATGAACGCTATGCTTCTACCCTAAACAAACTTTTTTTTTTTTTTTAACTAGAGAAGATCTCTGTGGTTCTCTGTAATGCACAAAGGCCACAGACATGGAGATTATGATTTGTTTGCATCAATACAAACATCTAAGAGACTCTGCCAGTGACCCACTGGCTTCCACTATTAACGATGCTACAGATGGGTGCACTGAATTCACGGTCCTCACTGGCTAGCCTGGTATAACCCAAACAAATTTAAATATAAAACTATCCAACTACCCTTAGCCCATAGAAACCATATCTGTGACCAATTAAAAAAACTCCTCAGTGAGAACAAATTGTGGAGAACTATCAATTTATTAAGTATTTATTATAAATATGAAATTTACATTCCTCATTGAATATTTATTAGCCTCAATTTTTCCAAGGCAACTCTTCAAGTTAACTCTTGAAAACTATGAAATTAATATTTTTGTTATTTCAAATGCCATAGCTAAGAAAGGGCATGACTCATGCAATTTTGCTGAATTATTCCATTCTAATCACCTGCTTGGTTAAAGGATTAATAGCTTATCTGGACTGGAGAAATGGCTCAGTGTTTAAGAGCATGACTGTTCTTGTAGAGGACTCCAGTTTGGTTCCCAGCACCCACATGGCAACTAACAACTGTCTATAACTCCTGTTCCAGGGGATTTGATGCCCTTTTCTGTCCTCTCCAGGTAAAACACTCATACTCATAAAACGTAGGAATGACTTTTACAATATGGACATACTCTGGACTAATCACTTTTACCTAAATTTACGACCAAAAAATTAGTTTGTAATATAAACAAGCTCACTGAGCCATGTGCTCCCTTTGTGACCTGGGCACATAATTCCTGAGGACCCCCTCCTTGTCTTTTACCAAAGATAGTGTATGAATGTGCATGTATGATTTTACATATCAAAGCATGAAAGTGCACACAAACAGTGCACTTATCTCATTGAAAGCTGTGAGAGATTTATAACACCTGTTTATGATAGTGTGTGTATGTGTGTGTGTGTGTGTGTGTGTGTGTGCGTGTGTGAGAGTGTGTGTGTGTGTATGTACAGGTCTGGTTCTAGGGACCAGAAAGGACAAGATTCTCTGATAAGATAAGGGATCTTACATTCCCATTTATGCTGGAGATACTGTTTCAGTAACAAATGATCAAAGTCCTTGTTATAGAGCACAATCCAAGAGAAATAGGAAGGATTTCTGGTCTGTTCTTGGCCTTAAAATGCATGCTAAGAGTCAGACTGTCATTTTTATTGCACAGCTGTAATATGGCTTAGTAACACTGTAATAATATAAAAAGAAATAAAAATATTTTAAGGGATTAATATCTTATATAACTTAAGAGTAGTAAGAAAACATTCTTACTTCTAGGAGATGAACTGTTGTCTGGAAATAGTTGGGTGCTTGGAGTAGATTCTGTTACAACAGGTGGTTGTTCTGTTGAAGAGTTCTCAGAATCTGAAAGCATCAGACAGATAATTAAAATGGATGTAATACTGTAAGAGAAAAATTGATTTAGTTCTACAAATATTTTTATATACATTAGCTAACAAATCAAAATTGTGAGGACTTGTCAAGAGCGGGCATTAAGGTAAGGTAAGTGAGAGCAGCGTTGCGCTTCCCTGAAAAAAATTTCTGCATATTTAGTGTGTGTGTGTGTGTGTGTGTAGTGTGAGAGAGAGAGAAAGAGAGAGAGAATGAAAGTTAAGATGTGATGTTTTATATTTTACACCCATTGAAACTGCCGTTATAACACTTTTAAAGATAGTCCTACCAGAGGAATAAAAAAAAAAAAACAAACTACAAATATCAGGAGGATTGATTGACTTTAGGAAGATATAGATTAAATGTAGTTAAGTGATTTTTGAGCCTGGAAGATTTTGTGAGTTTTCTAGATACAGTGTCATTGGCTATAGAAAATGTATTAGGTTAACAAAATAGCCACTCTGTTTGTGCACACCATCCAAAATTGGTTTGATTCTGAATGGCATCATAATTTGGTGCCTCGTTATGCTCCTGACTTCGTGTTTTACAGTGACTCATCTTTTCCATCTCTCTTGAACCACTCATTCTACCCAACAGGCAGATGTTTCAACCACCTACAGTATGTGCTTCCCAACTGCTTGGTTTTGTTGTTTACTGACATTTTCTCATTGTCAAATTTCCACAGTGAACCTTTTTAACAATGGGAAGTCCTGGAGCCTTCCTGCTGTGCTCTTCCCTCAATGCTGACTCCAGCAAAGTCCTTGCCAGTATGTTTCACCAGTTATGATTCTTTCTGTCTTTTAAATAAAATAATTTTGTTCATCTCAGCTTAACAAATAAAAGCACCACACAGGTAGTTTAAAGTTACTTATTTTTATTTTATGTGTATGAGTATCTTGCCTGCATATATGCAAGTGCACTAGTGTCATGCAATGCCCATGGAGGCCAGAAGGGGGCATCTGATCCCCTGGAACAGGAGTTAAAGATGGTGTTAGCGGCTATGTGGGAGGTTATGCCTCCCAAAAGAGATCATTGTTTTGTTCCTCAGTGCATTTATTGATATTGGCAAATAGAAGTGACTTTGTGCAGTGGCATTTGGAAGAATGAAGACCAGCCCTAAGTGTGTCTCTGATGGCTGTTAGATAGGAAGGAGGCACCCTCTTCCAAACCAGTGCCTTGATAAGATGCAGAATGGATCTGGAAGATAGTGACTGCATATTTTTTTTTTCTGTGGAATGATTTTACAGAGGTTGCTAAGCTAATGCCCACAGTCATTCCTACTCATGCCTATACTTACAAGGCTTTGGGGAGACACAATTTTATTAAATTGTTTAAATCTTTTCTGTGGTCTATGGCTGCTTTTGTGCTATAGTGACAGGGCTGAATAATTATAATGGAGATAATATTAGCCACAGATCCTAAAATATTTACTGTCTCAGTCTTTATAGAACAAAGTGCCATTGTCTAGAATTGAAGATGTTGATAGATTATGATAAATCAACCTCAAATTTCCATAATAGGAGGCATTTATTTTTCATTGATGGAATGTCTTTTTTAGACATGATTTTGCTATCTATTTTACTAACAAATATCTTTAGAAGTTGACTGGCTCAATCTCTTAGTATATTGAAAGATGTTACTATAAGATTTGGATATTGAAAATAACTCTTTGCCCTGTGACACATAGAGTTTAACATGAAACCTGAGATTGTAAAGCATCTGTTTAGTTTTAGACTGGACTGAAAAGTACGAACTCTGCCTCGATTAAAACAAAAAAACAAAAATAAAACTTCGGGTGGTACAAGAAATGATGGTTAGAACTTAACAGAAACAACTGATTTCTTAAGACAAATGAGGGATGGAACACACGTGCCTCATGCAGTTTTAAATCACTAAATGAAGTGATCAGCATCAGACTGGGACTGGCTATTGGCTGAAGCCACTTTATCCATTCTGAGGAGTGTCTCTCTGCAGTAGGCTAGGGAGCTCTTAGAGCCACTTCACAGACAATGGTAGCTAAGTACCTGACCCACAAGAACAGCTGTGTCAGTTCTAAGTTTTTTTTTTCTGAGTAAGATTCAGTCCTTATCTGGTCCACCTAAGAAATGGGTCAAACCCTAGGACTTGTTAGGGTATAGCCCCTATACCAGTAGGAAAGATTCTTTCAGGGTCTTGTTAGAAATGTAGACACTCAGCTCCGACTCAACACTTACTAAATTAGAATCTGCCTTTTACATCTCTGCATGATTTATATGCATATTAAAATTCTCTATTTATAATCTCAGGAACCCTGGGATCAGTCACAAGCATGAAGCTCCTGCATGGCAGGAAGTCATGAACCAAGAAAGAAGTATTTGTCTAGAATCTTCTAGTTCATTATTTAGTATTCCTCTTCTCCTAGCTATGGGGATACCTTTTTTTGCTATTTTCTCCATATCCCCAAATATGCACACTTAGCCATGTATGAACGCGCGCGCACACACACACACACACACACACACACACACACACACACACACACAGTTCATCAACCTTCAGTTCTATCATGGAGGTTTTGATTTCAACATTTGACTGGAATTGCAGTTAATAAATCCTGGTAAAGACTGATGATAGCTAGGATATTTCCAACACCAGGGGAATTTATACTCACCTTTTAGATTCAAGCACAACAAAATAGCCTTCCAGAAAGCTTTAGAAAGGACTTTTTGTTGTTTTGTTTGTAGTTATTGTTGAATCATGGGAATTCTGCACCCTTACTGAGCTCAAAATCTGCCTGCAAAACTGTCGGTCAGCCTCACCTGGACCTTTCTGAATTCTCTAAAACAAGCAGCATCAAGCACTTGACCTTCCTAGGAGAGTGAACTTACATTCCCTAAATGAGTCAAATGGGGAAAAGAGCAGCTCAAAGGAATGTTACCTCCCAGTCTGCAATATTCTTATCCTTGCTTGGGGCAGAAAGAATAAAACTTTCTTCCATCAAATCTTTTCCCTCTAGAATAATCTCTCAATTTCTTTCATAACACTGAAATGATAGTTTTTCCTTCATTGTTTTTGTTTGTTTTTTGTTTTTCTTTTTGAGACAGGGTCTCTCTGTAGCCCCAGCTGTCCTGGAACTCACTATGTAGACCAAGGTGGCCTTGAATTCACAGAGATCCACCTGCCTCTGCCTCCTCAGTGCTGGGATTAAAGGTGTGTACCACCACGCCTTCTGTGTTTTTATATCAGTTTGGTGTGGTCATTTGAATGAGAGTATTCCCTCATTGGCTTATATATTTGAACTCTTAGTTCCCCATTGGTGGCACTGTTTGGAGAAAGTTTGGAACCCTTACTAGATGTGTGTGTGTGTGTGTGTGTGTGTGTGTGTGTATCTGCTTTGGGAGACATGTAGAAATCAGTTCTCTCATTCCATGCAGATTCTGGAGATAAATCCCAGGTTATCAGGCTTGGCAACAAGTGCCTTAACATGCTAAGTCATCTCAGCAGTACTAAATATTTTCATGACTCAGCAATTTTAAGATATTTTAAATTTCTATTAGTTATCAATATCAGTACTAATTTGTATTATAAGACAAATTAGTCAGAATGCTAGTTAATTAAGAGTTATGATTAGGTGGGACATGGTGGCCCATGCTTGTAATCTTAGTACTTAGGAGACTGAGGCAGGGGGATTGCCAGGATTTGGAGGCTAGTTTGGGCTATAAACTGAAACTCTGTCTAAAAAAACCAAAAAGAAAATAAAAACGAGTTATGATTACAATAAAAATTTTACTCTTGGAAAGTATTTGTGGAAAAATGAATCATCTATTTCAGTTGAAGAAATAATTTTTAAAATTACCTTTGTGAAAATGCTTACTATAATAATTTTAAATTACTTGGATAAATTTCTGTTATGATGATGGTGTGGGAACAATGCAAATTCTATTCTTTCAAAATAGACATATCCTGAATTGATGGCAGTCTTGGCTAATCCTTATTGACTTTGTTCAACAGACAACTCACCCAAGGAAAGAGTGATAATTTCTGATGAAGTTTTCCATGTTTTATTTCCAGGGCCCGAAGACAGAGCCATACACAAAACTGTCACATTTGATGGGGCTAGCCTGTTACCATACATCTTTGTTAAAATTGACTTCAGTTCCCAAAATCCACTTCTGTCTTTTTTCTTTTCATTCGTGATCTGTATTCCTTCAAGACAGATGAAAACATGATTAGGTACTGACATTTTCTGTATGTCAGACAATGATGCCAAGACATGACATTTTCCATTTTGCTTTTACTTTGTTTCATTTTGATGTGATCACCCTATGTTGCCTAGGCTGGCCTTGAACTCATGGCTCAAGTCATTCTCCCAGCCCAGCCTCCTAATTAGAGGGTCTACAGGCTTCACTGCAACACTCAGATAATTTATAGGCCCCAAGTAGTTAGACCAGCTTCTAGGAAGCAAGGCCTGGTTCCAGCAGAGCTTGAAATAACCTGAGCCAATTGTTCCAGATCCTTGATGGCATTGATCTATTATAATCAAGGTACAAAATGCATCTATAAGTATGTTTTGTTTGTAACCATGGGTCCAAGCATTTGGGATCAGATTGTTCCAGTTTGTTAGTTCTGTTTAATATGGTAAAATTGGTGATTTGCACCTGGATTGGGTTGATCTCTGGGACTGGCCTTCTGTGAACTCTGATTATGTGACAATAATATACCTGAGAATGTGCCAGTACAACATAAAACAACCTCAGTTGAGGCACTGCTTTGAGCTTCCCATTTCTGAGCTGGCTATGAACATAGGGCTCCTGATTTGAGAAAGTGCATCTGGGTGTGGTCCTTAGAGAGTAAACACAGTTGAATGTGTGGACTTCCTCCTTGCTATAAGTGCAACTGATGACATGTATCCCAATTCTGATGCTAAATTATACCCATTTCCTAAAATAAGCTGTATATTGACAAGCACTGTTATTTCTGGTCTTGTGAATCTTCTTTAGAAATCTTTTAATTGCCACTGTTAGTGCAACCTCCAAGTTTTAAATACTATAACAGTAAATTAATATAAAACCATCTATTGCCACAGGAAAAAATCTTTCTGGACTCTCTGAATCTTTACATTAAAGGTTATTTTTTTCTTTTCAGACAGGGTTTTGTGTAGCTAAGGCTGGCCTGGAACTCATTATGTAGAAAGGATGACCTTGAACTCCTGATCCTTCTTCCTGTATCTGCATCCCCAAATACTAAGACTATATAGGTCTATGCCACCATGCCTGGCTTACATTAAAAGTTCTTAATGCTAGTTTTGAAGTTACTATTTTGGTAAAATGGTAGCTAAATGTAATTATGTACTGGTGGAATTCTGATCACATCATCTGGCCTCTTATTTGCAAAAGTAATGGGTATATTGTATCTAGGTGCTTTATCTGTGCAGTGCTTATTTAACAGAAAAATATACTTATAACAACCGTTTATACATATTGTCAGGATTCCATTGTGTAACTGTTACAGTGAACAGTTTTTAAAGTGAACTCATTAAACTGTAAATTCATCAAGAGCTCCATCAATTCATTCATCAACAGAAGCTGTTAATTTTAGAAATTAGAAAGAGTAATTGAGCAAGAGTTTTTTTTGACTCAGTTTTCTAAAAATGTGTTAGAAAACTGCATCAACAGAAGACCTGCTACCCAGGTGGGGATACCTGAGATCATTCTGGCGGAGGCTGCCATGGTTACCACTTATAAGAAATGTTACTTTGTTCTCAGATTGTCTCAGTGTGTGTTTCTGTTTCAGGAACTTTTAATGCTCCTGGTGAGCATGTTCCTTACAAGGAACCAACTCCTTTATATATATCCTCTATTGCCACACCCCCAGGTCCTGTTCCAGGGCCTTACAAGAAAAAGTAGAAATTGCTGCCAGTTGATTTAAGGCAGTGGTATAAGTAAATTGAACATATACTGTGTTAAAATAATAAGGAAATAGAACAGTTAGTAATAACAGAAAAGCAGGCTCTTACTGTTAATTATGTTTATTTAAATGTTTTGTTCTCATTTGGGATATCTGTTTTTACTAACACAAATTAAACAGCGTGTGTAGTCTAAAGAATCAATTGCATACTGAGAAACATGCCTTCCCCCTCATGGAGGAGTCAGATGAAATATCAGAAAGTGACATCCTATAGGTAACATGGCATCTGGTTGACAAAGAGAATTACTTTTAAATGCCAAGATCAGCTTGGGCAACAACAATTTCTAGTGTTCTTTCTTTCTTTGCCAAACTCATTTCCATTGCTCTGTTTCCTTACCTTCTTCATCACCTTGAAGAAACCGTCCACCTACAAGCCACTTGATGTTTGCTTTGGGAAATACATTCCTTACTAGGCAGGTAAATCTTCTCTAAAACAGACAGAAAGGGATTATTTTCCAATTCAGAAAAAAATTGGTACTCCTTATGTCTCCATCACACGAGCCAAATGAGCAAGAAATGAAATTCTTTACCTCTAACTATACTACAAGGCCAGCACGGGCTGTCATCTCTAGAGACCTTTGCAAATTTGTGGCTAGAATCCTAGGCCAATTTAGGAATGTAAGACTATACAGTTAGATGGTGGATTATGCATTCTGAAAATGGAAATTGTAACTTTGTATAGGAAGAACAAATGAGTACTAAATGGAAACTACAAAGAAGATGGAAGGAACTGTGACAGGCATAGGCTAGAGAATACTGTTAGATCGAAAGTTAAAGAAGAGAGATGCATTATTTTTGTTTCCAAAATAGTGTAAAAGACCATTATTTGCAGCAATGATCATAGAAATAACTTAAAAATATATAATAATTCTAGTTTTAAAAGTTTTCATAGTCCTTTTTGCTACTTTTATTTTTTGGCCTTGATTTTATAGAAATGATAGTACATACCTTACTATTGACAGGTTACACACAGGGGAAGAATCAAGGTGTCATGTGGTTAAAGGAAGTAGAAAGCATTTAACAGCATAACTAGGAGCTATGTCCTCCCAATTTCAGTCCAATATAGTTCTTGGTAAATCATTTTGCTCTGAAATAAGTAACATCTCACGACATGGGTGCACTAACATACATGCAGGCAATACACTCATACACATAAAAATAATATTTAAAAGCATGAAACATAGGTGCAGGGCTTGTTATATCTTACTTTCAACACTGTTCACTCTTTGGAGGATTAAGTGTGTATTCCTCAGCATGGGAAACATATCCAGAAATGGTTATTAGTTCCCATCATTTTATCTGATGTTCTATCAAATTATAATCCCATTGTAATGACCTATTTTCTCATTACAGAAGTGAATTTAGCATATGCCTTGTCCTAGTTCTTGGTTCCCACAAGTCCTGGTTTCATAGTTTCCACAACTGTTGGATATATAATAGTAGTAAAGACCAACAAACTGTGATACTGCTGTGCCAATCTACCAGGTAATTACCCCCAAGGAAGTCAAACCTATAAAACTGAGAACCCAAACAGGAGGGCACTAGGAAACATTTTTCAGTTAAAATCTCACTCGTGCAGTTTCTCATTTGTCATCACATTGATATCAATATGAAAAATAAAGAGACTTTCAAAGCATCTTCCATTGTATTCAAGAGAGCAGGTACATACTAGCTCTGAGAATTTCTACTCTTTTAACACTTGATTTTTTCCCCCAGATAATGTGCATGCATACATGTGACAGGATTGTAGAATTTAAGAAATTATATGACTAGGGATATAGCTCAGTGGTAAAGTGCTTGTCTAAATGTACAATGCCCTGATTTTAAGGCACAGTAATGTAAAAACAGTTATGAAATTATGTTGTTTTTCTCTCCTTCTCTCTTAGAAAATCAAAAGTAAAGCTAGGTTTCCTTGAATATCTATTCTTATTAAGCAAGTGGAAAGAATTCAGTTGATTTAATCTAAGAAGACCCCAAAAGTTTATTTCCACGTCCATTTGGTTTAGGATGGAGTAGCCATGCATAAGAAATGAAGAGTTAACAACGAAGTTACGGTTTGTATTACACCCAACACCCATTACGTGCTCATGATTCACTTCCTCTACCTCAGGTTCTCAGCCAAAGGATAAAGATTCAGAAATACTGGGGACAATTTTTGTTAAGAAAATTGGCTCATTGAAAGACTCTTCATCAACTCTAAAAGTAGCTAAGAGATTTGACCTTAATGGAGTTTGGGATTCATATTTTCTGGGTTGATTCAGATTTTAAATATTCTGTACTACCTCCAAAATCTATGTTCCAAAATTTGGTTTAGGAATCTGAGTGTTATCTTAAAATATTCCAAATTTCTAAAATTAAAAAGCCACAGAGCATACTAGTTCAACTTGAGGTCAACTACTTGAGAAAATGTCAAGCCATATGGTGTTGCTGAGGAGGCAGTACGGTCTTTCTTTAGGAACTTCTACTGGATTAAATAAGCAAGAAGAAAAACGTGCTAAATCTGAGGAAATATGAAGCAAATGTGCACAGGAGCATACATACACATACCCACATGCACACGTGTCCAGCTGGCTAAAGAGTCGAAAACCCTTCACTCACTCTTTGTGTGCCCATGGCATTGAGAGACAAGTGATGTATTTTGTTCGCTCCAACAGATAGCATAAAGAATTACAAGGTATCAAAAAAGTCCAACATGCCAGCATAAAGAATTACAAAATATTAAAAAGAGTATTTGGACAATTGTGTGGAAGCCAGAGAAGAGTGAAATCTGAGATTAGTTTAGAGCACAGTCTTTGTGGACAGGGCAGGCCGAGAGAAAGTGGTCAGAAATTCAACCACGAGGAATGGATATGTGTTGGAGATGTACTGGAAGCTGGGAGATGCTGGCACTAGTGGATGACTAGAGCATGCGGAGCTTGACAAGTCAGACAAAAAAGAAAAATCCGGTCCTGACTATAAGATTAATAATTTCTGTAGCTGTGTCTTTAAGGAAATTAGCCCACCTCCTCCACGTTGTATTTAACTACAATTCTGCAACCTTTCCTAGAAAATGTCTGTGCCTTCCTGAGCATACAGTCCTTGATAATCATGTAAGGAATGCTTGTCTGAACCTGCACAAAGTTGTTTTAGTTGAAATTTTCCTGACTTCTCTTTCCACTTTCAAGACTGATGATTCCAATTAAGATGTTTTCAAGATCTACAGGAACACAGTGGCCTTATGACTACATGCGGAGCTGATAGATTGCTAACCTCTAGGCTTTGCAATATTCCATTCTAGAATGCTGGAGAGATGCCTAGGAGTCTATAGTCCTAAATTATTTCCTAAGCCAAATCCCCCTCTTCAGGGTTTGCTGAAAGATAAAAAGAAACACACCAAGTTAAGATGGTCTTTTAGAACATAGCCCACCAACCTCTTTTTGAATCTGCTGACTTAGCAAATAAATATTTTTCCCCCAAGTAATACTGCCCTTTGTGAGATATAAGTAAACAGGAAAGTTTGGTAACAATTCCTCTTGCTTAAAATGCAATAGTAAAATGGTGACCATCTTGGTAACCATCCATGAATTAACTCCAATTAGCACATCGAAATTTGGATAGCATCTTTCCCAATGGGCTTCTTATTAGAATGACTTGAAAACATTAAGATTTTTAATCTAGAAATGAAGAAAGACACTGATCACTGGCTTAACTCTATTTTGTCCCTCTATTTTTGCTTCCTTAAAATTTTTCTTCTATCTTCTGCAGGCACCTTGGAGTCTAGGAAGACAGGATTGATGGATAAACATCTTTCTAACAAGAGCCTGAAACTACTCCACGCATCAGCGAGCCTTGTGGGACAGAGCAGCCTCGGATGAGGAAAATTATCACAATGGCAGACAAAAACCTACCATGGAACTGGGGAAATTCGTAAGGGGCCAAACCTTAGCTAAGGAACCATTGGCAAATGGTCATTGCTAGGTGAGAGAGAATTGGTCTTTTTAAAAAATATTTTATTTATTAGTTTTTATTTTATGTGTATGAGTGTATTGCCTGTATGTGTGCAAGTGCATCTTTGTTGTGCAATGCCTGCTGAGGTCAGAAGAGGGTGTTGGATTCTCTGGGAACTGGAGTTACAGATGGTTTTTAGCACCATGTGGCTGCTGAGAATCAAACCCAGGTCCTCTATAAGAACAACCAGTGATCTTAATTGCTGAGCCATCTCCCCAGCCCCAGAGTTGTTCTTTTTAAAGAGAGTGATGCTAGATAGGGTGATCAGGCTCCAGTGGATGAACTCATACTGTGGGACATCTGGGGATACAGACTTGACTCTATAGGCTTTAACGTATATGACAGAATGTTTGAGGTCTGGTGTGAGGTCTATGGGGGGATGCAGATAGGGGAGGGGGTCTGGATGTCGTTGGTATGTGTTGTGTGAAATGCACAAAAATTCAATAAAAATATATATTGAAGAAAAAAAAGGATGGCAGGCTACATCCTGGAGCCAGAGTCATCGTTTCATAGGAACAAGATTGGTCCTCTCAAATGACAACAGTGGAGACACTCCCAGAGCCCCTTGCAGAACCAGAAGCGAAGTGACACCAACCAGGCCACGCTTTGACTGTTTCATGATGCATGCCTCTCACCCTCTGCTGTAGTTCTTCCTCTGTCTGAACTGAAAGTTCTTGTCAGTACCCTGAAGGTGGACTTGGGGTTCTCCCCAACATTTCCATAATGAAAACTGGGGAAAATCCATTTCCAGCTGTCAGGGGGCACAGAAACAGGAAGCAGGTATGAAGAGAATCAAAGGAAAACCTAAATCCTTCAATATTTAAAAATGTTTGTTGTAATGGGTGGCATGGGAGCCCTGGGTTCACGTGGGAGTTGACTAAATGCCCACCATTCGCCATCACTTTTGTCTTTAAGTGATATATTGGGACAGGTGGTCAAGCCTAATCTCTTAGGATTCCAGGAGTTGGTGCTTCTGCCCTAAAACTCTACTGACAGAAAGGGAATTAAAGAAAAGTTTCCAAATTTCTTAAAACAATTCTTCATTTCATTTGGAATTTTTCCTCTCCGTGCCCCCATTGGAAAGCCGATTTTAGTTCCTCCATGTTGTATGTTGTGACTTTTCTCTCTTCTACACTGCAGGTTTTTCTTCTGTGGACACTTTTAAAAATGTTCCTGTCTCCTTCCGGTAGGTTCTTCTTCCCAAACTTACACACAAAGGTAAGTGTATATTTTATGTAAATGGCAATTATCCTTTTCTCTCTGAGATTACAAGCCAAGAGCATCTCAGCCTTTCCAACTCTAGTTACATAATATAATAAAGGCATTCCAAAATTCATGTCTTAATTTGCCATACTTCTTTGACTTTTCAGTTTTCCTTCACTTAATGTGCCCCTTTCTGTGTGTTTTCTGACTTTTTTGCTGACCATAAAAATATTTGAAACCACAGGTGTCCTTGCTCTTCCTCCATATTTCACCCTTTCTGCTTTGTCTTGCATCTTCCTTGGCTTGAAAGGCGGACAATTCAGCCAGGAGGAGATACAACTTAGACTTGTAGGTGCTGGACCTACTCTTTGCTTCATATCATTTTCCAGAGATGTCTTGTTCTGGTGGTGGAAAGGGTGGAGACAAGGTATGCAGTTGAATTTCAGTGTTGCAGAAAAACCTCACAGGAAGAGACACGCCCCCTTGGACACAAAAGCCTCCCGGAAGTAGGAGGGAACCAGACCTGGAGGTGTCCTCCTGGAGGTAGGAGCTAGCTGATAGCCATTCAGGGTGTGTAGGAGTATATTCATCCAGCACCAGGGAGACCAGAGACAAGTTCAGAGTCTTCCTAGCCTGTGAGTACCTGCTTGGAAAGGGGTTGGAGGTGGAGGATTTCCCAAATGTTCAGGGCTGCAAAGCTTGATGAGAACATTTTCATTCAATTACAAAATGACCCCCTGGAGGTAGGAGCTAGCTGATAGCCATTCAGGGTGTGTAGGAGTATATTCATCCAGCACCAGGGAGACCAGAGACAAGTTCAGAGTCTTCCTAGCCTGTGAGTACCTGCTTGGAAAGGGGTTGGAGGTGGAGGATTTCCCAAATGTTCAGGGCTGCAAAGCTTGATGAGAACATTTTCATTCAATTACAAAATGACCCCCTCCCCCCAAACACACACAAAGGAGAGAGAAATTAGGCCATATATAT